AGATAAGTTTGAGATTTTGAGATACAGGCTAGCCTTCTCTTCCGATTTTCACAAGTCAGTATCTTGAAATTACGACTTGTATTCACAAAAATGATGACTTCGTATTCGGAAATGATGAGATAGTATCTCAAAATGAACTTAGTATCTCATAATTATGACTTAGTGTCTCATAATGATCACTTGTTATATTACAATCATGAATTTTTATGTCATAATTATGACAGTATCTAAAAATTGACTTAGTATCTTGAACTTATGACTTAGTGCCTCATAATTGTGACTTTATGAATTATGAAATTATGATTATCTCATAATTATGAGACAAAACAGGGGATTGTTTTAAGTGGAGGAAATGGGCTTCCATACCTGTACATCTCTTAACCTGCTGAGAAAACAAAAAGAAAGTGCTGCGTTAATAGGAAGCCTGCCATCCCCCAGACCATCACACTCATCCATGCTGTGCCATCTCTCTCTCTCTCTCTCTCTCTCTCTCTCTCTCTCTCTCCTTCCTCGTCTCTCTGTCCTTTCCTGTCTCTCTCTCTCTCTCTCTCTATCCCTTGTCTCACCCGTCTCGGGACTGGATCAGATCGGTGATTCTCCTTCGCCTCCGCTTTGGCCTCTGATTAAGCGCAGAGTATAAACAAAGCGACCTCGTTTAACAGATTACAAAGGAATTAGACGATCAAAGAGCGAGAGAATGTGTATGAGAGTCGGAGACGGAGACGAGAACGAGGTTTGAGTGTGTGAGTTAGAGAGAAGGAGACGTGTGTGTGTGTGTGTGTGTGTGTGTGTGTGTGAGAGAGAGAGAGAGAGAGAGAGAGAGAGAGAGAGGGAAAGTGAAGGAGACCTCTTGCCCTGTTCCGTCTGATATCGGAATCCATTTTGTGCTGAATGAACATAACAGCTAATCCCGCCCTGCGGTACAGGCCTGAGGGGCTCTGACACTGACACACACACACACACACACACACACACACACACACACACACACACACACACATCTCACAAACACTTTTAAGTACCAGTGAATCTCGCATTCGCTCACATTCACATCGCATTACATCTAATGATTGAATTGTGCTTTTCTGTTGAGTGTTGAGCGATTCACTTTTTTTCCTCAAATCTGATTGGTCGGAAGGTGTTGATTCATTTTCAATAACAGCAGCTCTGACAGAAGCTTTGACTATCATTCAAATCCAAAATCACAGGTTTATAGTAATGCGCTCATTCTAATACGATACGGTTTCTATAGTAACCGCTCATTCACGGGGACGTGTACAGCCCGGCGCAAACGGATTAAATGCTCATGTGTGTAAGGAGATGTTTATTTAACATTTATGGAAGGAGTCTCCAGTGTCGGAGCTTCGTAACAGCCAGTCGTAAGGCTGTAACGTTACGTTTTCCGACATCTTCAGGACAGATGAGTTTACGCTTTTTTTGCGCAGTAAAACATAACATAACACGCTGCGTTTTTTCACTTACAAACCTAAAGAAAGATGAAAAAAAAAAAAGAGAGGCAGGTGAAGGAACGACTGTTTGTAGCTGCTATAACGTAAGTGAGAACAGGATCTCACTCGTTTCCACGACAACATGAAATGTAATTATAAACGGATAAAACGCATGACCTGTCATTCATAAATAAATGTGCAAAATTGTTATCGTTGGTAAAATTCCTGTGGTAGAAGAGGAATAAAGCACTTCTCGACATGCTGGTATCGGAAAAGAATCAGCTTTGGGATGGTAGCAGTGACTCTGCTTCATCACACCAGCATGCTGTTGATTATTTTCCCACAACAGCATGACACAGAGTGTTTTATTTCGTACTTACAGACTCTCCCGCTGAAGAATCGCGTAGGATAAAAGTTTTATGAGATTGCGATATTATTCGAAAGTTTTGCGATGCTTGTGATAATAAATAAGCATCTAACGTTAAATATCATCATCTTCCATCAAATTTTAAAGTATAACATTTTGCGATCGCCTGAATGAATAAAACCCCCAACAGAAACTGTGTTGTATTTATAACGTTTTTTTTTTTTCCTCACGGACGCCTGTATCAGTCGAGCACAGCGTGGCGTTATGTTCACCCTGTGAGCCTACTGGAGGTTTTTATTTATTCTTGTCTTAGAGGTGTTGAATATATTATCTCTGATAACTTCCTAATTTAAATAAGTTTACCAGGCCCCCTGTACCTTGAAATAAATTATACGAAAAAAAAAAAAAAAACACCAGCGCTTGTGTTAAATTTAATTTTCACACAGAAGACGGTTGTATAACTGGGCATCCCAAAGAAACGCTAAATTCCTTTACCTGGGAACACAGCATTAGATGGAGAACGTGGTACATTTATATGTTTCTTCTGATATATACAGCATCACTCTCATCCTGAGGTTCCTGAAGATCCTGGAGGAAAAGTTCTAGATGAGAGCGAACACGTGACTCCACCGTTTTTGTGCCGTTCAGGTGGGTAAGTATTCAAGGACTTGGAATCGGGACGTCACGTGATCACGTGACTTCACCTGGACTTCACTTCTGCTGAACCAACATACGCAAACGTGTCGTGAATGAATTCGAGAATTGCATTAACATCAGAATATGCCGGAACGTCCTTCAAAATACTCCTTTTTTTTTTTTCCTTCAAAATGGAACATAGTTAAAGGTCTAAACGCTAAAACCGGTAGCAGTTTTTTATTTATTTATTTATTTATTTATTTATTTTAATCTTAGCTAATATGTGTAACTGTGTGCTGCCGGGGAACAGCTGCAGAGTCGCAACATTACACGCTACTTTATTCTCCTGATCTGGGTCAGTGGACTCATAACTAATCCTGAGTAAGCTTGTATTTTGACTAAGGATTAATTATTAGGGATTTAACCTCTGTCAAATCTGTCTCTACTGTACCTTCGCAGCTTGTTGGATTGCTTATTGATCCGTTTCGATGTCCGTAGCGGTCTTTAATATTTTGACGGTTTGCACTGTACTCCGCCAGATGTCCAGTTTAACCAGAACTAAAGTTAGGACCCGGCTTTCGCCAGCCTCTGGCTCCTGACACATGAGAGTTTTTTTTTTTTTTTACGAAAAAGATTAATGAGTGGAAATCTAAGATGTCTGTTGACAGCCTAAGCTATTTTATAACATGAGATAAGATGCTAGAGTGAGATAGTCTGAGTGTATTTGAGTGTATAGAGTAATAGAGTGTATAAGAAAAATGCATTTTTTTAAAAATATAAAATAATGTTTAGAAACATTGTGACTGTGATTGTGGTTATAAAAAAAAAAGAATGTCGTTTTTTTTTTAAAGTACGTTTTTGATAGTCAAGAAATGGAGACGTAGCGACGTGTCAGACGACTTATAGCAAAAACCATAACTGTTCTTATGACGTATTTAATAAGTGTTAAAAGAGTTTTCATGACCAATAAAAATTTTGCTAGCTAGTGGTTTAAACTGTGAAAAAATAAAAATAAAATTGCTGAAAAATGTGAAAAGCGTGGAACAGAATCATACCTAATGTGCAAAGAATTAAGAAAATCCCAATTCGATTGTCTTGCTGTCACGTTGTCACTGAAGTCATGGCCCACCTGTCGCTTTCAGTTACCATCTACTGTTAATAAACGTAATATTTTGGCCTAAAAGAAGACTTAGACCCAGTTACCGATTTAGCATAAAAACAGCACAAGAAGGATCTCAGGAGCAAACTGTACATTCACCAGTGACATCACTTGGCTCAGGAGCGACCCTTAAAATGGCTGCCGTGGCCGTGATCCGCTTGGGAGTGCTCTGTGTAGGCTTCATCACTCCAGGTTTTCATTACGCCAGAGTCGGTTTAAACCACACTTTGTTTTGTTTTGTTTTGTTTTAAACCAGTGGCTGTCTTGTCGCTGGTCAATAACATCACGCACTGTGCGCTACTGTGCGCTACTGTGCGCTACTTTGTGACGTAGCTTGACAGTTTCAAGTCGCAGAAGCGCAGGAATCTTGCATCAACATCGTTTCGTATATCCAGTATAACCTGATCATTCTTTTTTCACTTAAACATAATATGATCAACACACTGGATCCAAAAAAAAACCCACCACAAAATTGTGTTTTGAAAATTATGATTATGATGATTTTTTTCCCCATGTTTGTTTACACGACATAAAAAGCCAAAAATATTGAGATACATATCGTAAAAATCATCGTAAAAAGAAATCACATGACTTAATCACATCAGTAACCTGTCTGCGTTAACGTCATTTCTTTTCATTAGCATACAAACGGTTCGTGTTTCAGTTTAAAGAGCCATATTAGTACATACAGTATGTATACAGTTAGTATACAGTCTACTTTAAGTATGTTTAATGTCATAGTCTGGTTGGGGATCCAAGCTGTCAGGTTCTCAGGAGATTTTATTTAAAGGTGCATTAGGTCAAGATTGGCTCTCTAACAGCTAAACAGGTGGACTTAAATACAATTTGAATGTTTTTTTTGTTTTGTTTTTTTTTACACCTACTTGAGCCCGCTCCCTATTCCTGCCCATGTACACGAAGCTCCGCCCCCAGCACCTATGACGGTTCAACTAGAGTTAACATGCCATCAGTTTCAAGCGCACTGGGACGTTCAGCTGCCTGAAAGTGAAGTTATAACACTGCACGCACGCCGGATTTATTTCATACCGATTCACGAGAATGTTCATGAGTGAGGTTTCTGTCCTCACTAATAAAAAAAATGTGTTATAGATTTCTATAGATTGCATTTACAGACCTGGAGCCACGTCACTAATTCTTCTTGACCCGTTATAAATGACTCCATCTTGGAAAAATCACTGTCAGTGTTTATTCTGGTTTGATTGTGTTTCTTGTTGTTAAGCACAAAGCGATTTTGTTTTTGCATGTGCTGATTTCAGACGGAGATGTGGGCGGAGTAAAGGGATGTTGGGGAGTGCCTATCAATTTTATCCGGGCTTGGGACCGGCACTGAGAGCGCACTGCTGCACGCAACCCCAGTGGCTAAAGCTGGTTCTCTGGCCAGGAATCGAACCCGGGCCGCAGCGGTGAGAGCGCTGTGTCCCAACCACTAGTCCTCCAGGGACCCTACAGAATTTATACTAGTAAGAAGTTTTTTAAAAAAAACATCTATTGCACCTTTACTATTGATAGTCGATTGTTTTTCAAGCTCACTGTATGAAACCAAAGGCTTCATTAATATCAACTCGTTAACAAACCATATAATGAGTGACTGAAATGGCAGAAGTTAAGGATTACTGATCTATCGAACACTCAGACAGATTGCCTTGTCTCTCTCTTTACTTTGTAGAAAATTAGACTAGTAAAAGTAAAAATAAAACTAGTTCCACTTCAGTTCATTAATCATATAACATACTAGAAATGTTTAATAACTAGTTCCACCCCTCCTCATTAGTCATATAAGCTACTAGAAATGTTTAATAACTAGTTCCACCTCAGCTCATTAGTCATATAAGCTACTAGAAATGTTTAATAACTAGTTCCACCTCAGCTCATTAGTCATATAAGCTACTAGAAATGTTTAATAACTAGTTCCACCCCACATCATTAGTCATATAAGGTACTTGAAATGTTTAATAACTAGTTCCACCTCAGCTCATTAGTCATATAAGGTACTTGAAATGTTTAATAACTAGTTCCACCTCAGCTCATTAGTCATATAAGCTACTAGAAATGTTTAATAACTAGTTCCACCCCTCCTCATTAGTCATATAAGGTACTAGAAATGTTTAATAACTAGTTCCACCTCAGCTCATTAGTCATATAAGCTACTAGAAATGTTTAATAACTAGTTCCACCCCACATCATTAGTCATATAAGGTACTTGAAATGTTTAATAACTAGTTCCACCCCTCCTCATTAGTCATATAAGCTACTAGATATGTTTAATAACTAGTTCCACCTCAGCTCATTAGTCATATAAGGTACTAGAAATGTTTAATAACTAGTTCCACCCCACATCATTAGTCATAAGGTACTTGAAATGTTTAATAACTAGTTCCACTTCAGCTCATTAGTCATATAAGGTACTAGAAACTGTTTCAGACTCCATGGCTTTGCTTTATTTGTTATTAAATCAATAAAAACTGTAAAATGGTTCATTTAAAGAACTGATTAGACTTGTGTTGTGTAAATACTGTCTCAGTCTCAGGCTTCACCTCGTCGAGGAGAAATGAATTTCGCATTAATTTATCTGCAATCTGTCTGACTGACACGTGGCCCCTCCCCCTTCTAACTGTATTAGCATATAAACCTCCGTGTGTGTGTGTGTGTGTGCGTGTGTGTCAGAGTATGTAGGTCACGACGAGGATTAACTTGATTTTGTAACTGTTATTCTGAGGCACTTCGGTCATTTTCCCAGCCGGTATTTTGAGCACAATTAACGGACGCCGCCGGTCACCTTATGAGCGCTCGAGAGCCCGTTATTTCCCTTTATCCTTCTTTAAAAGTATAAAATTAGATTTAAAAAAAAAGACAATAAACAATAAACAATATTCACCATCGTCAGCATCAGCAGCAGCATCATCATTTACAACAATGCCGCCATTATGTCCACTTTTTTTTTCCAATTCAGTTTCATTAACTGGAAAATTCGTAAGAATTCGAACAACTCGTACGAAAAGTTATACGAAAGCTTAAGCCTGTGGTACAGTCGGCTGTTTCTTTCCTACTTTATTCATGTGAAATCCCCCAGAATACCGTCTCTATTTCTATTCTCTCTCTCTCTCTCTCTCTCTCTCGCTTTATAATAACCGATATCTTTTATGTGTCTCTGTTTCGAAATTTCACTCAGGTAAAAAATCTTTAAAAAATATATATATTAAAAAAAAAAAAACGTCTATGACAGAAGTTTGTATTCAACTGTATTCAATTTCTATTCAAATTTACATATTCAAATTTTAGGGGCGGAGTCAGAGCTTGTACTATTTCCTAGCTACGAATTCATTCGTATGAAACAAACTCCTTGTTCTTCCAGCATTCGTAGGAATTTCTCATGAGACCTGGTAGCGTTTACGAATGTTCTGCGCTCTCAAGAACTTTTTTTCATCTTTCATCTTTTTTTTTTTTTGTTTGTGGGCTAGCTTGATTTAAGTCGCTCACTTCTCGCAGATTTAGGCTGGGCTAATAAAATAAACACATCGGGTAGCTAAACTGACCTAACACTTTTCTGCCTCTGGACAAACACGGCTAATCATATCAAATAAGTAAGCGTGTTCGTGAGAGCCACGCAATGCTAATCAAAAATTCATATTATGAGATTTATAATTTTGTGTGTTAAATTTGGAGTCTATTTCAGACTAGCGTAGTGTTTAACATTCCTGCATGTGCATGGTTTATTTCAGCAACTGATACATCGTTTATCATCTGTGTAGGTACAGTAGCTACAGCTCCTACACGGTGTCTAGAGATATCCGTTTCCTTTCCCGATACCGATACTGAAACCGTCAGCATCAGCGATGCTTTAAACGTATCATTAACAGGAAGTATAAACAATAAACATAATTTACTACTAGAAATGTTTAATAACTAGTTCCACCTCAGATCATTAGACATATAAGGTACTAGAAATGTTTAATAACTAGTTCCACCTCAGCTCATTAGTCATATAAGCTACTAGAAATGTTTAATAACTAGTTCAACCTCAGCTCATTAGTCATATAAGGTACTAGAAATGTTTAATAACTAGTTCCACCCCACATCATTAGTCATATAAGGTACTAGAAATGTTTAATAACTAGTTCCACCTCAGTTCATTAGTCATATAAGCTACTAGAAATGTTTAATAACTAGTTCCACCCCACATCATTAGTCATATAAGGTACTAGAAATGTTTAATAACTAGTTCCACCTCAGTTCATTAGTCATATAAGGTACTAGAAATGTTTAATAACTAGTTCCACCCCACATCATTAGTCATATAAGGTACTAGAAATGTTTAATAACTAGTTCCACCTCAGCTCATTAATCATATAAGGTACTAGAAATGTTTAATAACTAGGTCCACCTCAGCTCATTAGTCATATAATGTACTAGATATGTTTAATAACTAGTTCCACCTCAGCTCATTAGTCATATAAGGTACTAGAAATGTTTAATAACTAGTTCCACCTCAGATCATTAGTCATATAAGGTACTAGAAATGTTTAATAACTAGTTCCACCCCAGCTCTTTAGTCATATAAGGTACTAGAAATGTTTAATAACTAGTTCCACCTCAGCTCATTAATCATATAAGGTACTAGAAATGTTTAATAACTAGTTCCACCCCACATCATTAGTCATATAAGGTACTAGAAATGTTTAATAACTAGTTCCACCTCAGCTCATTAGTCATATAAGGTACTAGAAATGTTTAATAACTAGTTCCACCCCACATCATTAGTCATATAAGGTACTAGAAATGTTTAATAACTAGTTCCACCTCAGCTCATTAGTCATATAAGGTACTAGAAATGTTTAATAACTAGTTCCACCTCAGCTCATTAGTCATATAAGGTACTAGATATGTTTAATAACTAGTTCCACCTCAGATCATTAGTCATATAATGTACTAGATATGTTTAATAACTAGTTCCACCTCAGCTCATTAGTCATATAATGTACTAGATATGTTTAATAACTAGTTCCACCTCAGCTCATTAGTCATATAAGGTACTAGATATGTTTAATAACTAGTTCCACCTCAGCTCATTAGTCATATAAGGTACTAGATATGTTTAATAACTAGTTCCTAAACAAAGAATCCACTCGTTCTTTTCTTCATATGTAAACATTTCTAGTCCCACAAAGAAAAAAAATCTTTCCCAAATGCAATTTTAAATTAGAAACAGGATCAGATGAAATTATTTTTCCTCCAGTTTCGTTGGTATCAGTCCGATACCGATACTGATCTGATCGGTGCCATGTCTAATTGTAGCTATTTGCATGATAATATTAGCAAAATTTTAAATGTGGAAGTTCATTTATTTATTATTAATTTATTATTATTTCCTAAAAGCTTTTATCCTGGTCAGTTTCTAGAATAATGGAAACATTACTCAGTTATTATTATTATTAATATTGTTGTTGTTGTTGTTGTTGTTGTTGTTAAAGCACTTCCGGTTGTGCAGAATTGTCAGTGCTAAGTCAGAGTCATATGGTGCAATAACTGTAGTGTAACTGTGTAGTTTACAGAGATCTGATTGGCTCCTCACAGTCTGGGACGCGTTTTAATCCAATCTATGAAATCCAGTCTCGCGCTTCATATTTACATCTGTTACCTTTACTTCTCGCGCTATAATCTTTGAGCTTTGGGTTTTTGAGCTTGGTGACGGATTTAAACCGTCTCCGGCTCCATCACGGTGACGAGCAGCGTACAGACTGTGGGTGTGTGTGTGTGTGTGTGTGTGTGTGTGTGTGTGACAGATGGAGCGAGCCGAGGCCGGTACAGCGTGCATATGGCAGCGCGAGGGGTTTGTGCGGGACTCCGCGCGCTAAGCCGCATTATTAAAGCCGTCTACCGAGCAACTGGTGCAACCTCTCTCTCTCTGTCTCTCTCTCTCTCTTTCTTTCTCTCTCTCTCTCTCTTTCTCTCTCGCTCTCTCCTTCGCGTACAAGCGCATCTTTAATCCTTCGCGTGAGAGGACTGCTTCTCTCGCGCTCTCATCGTGCACTACACCACCGGCCCTTATTATTATTATTATTATTATTATTATTATTATTATTATTATTGCTATTACTACTATTATTTTTTTTTCTTTTCTAAAAGCTTTTATCCTGGTCAGTTTCTAGAATAATAAAAATTGTACTCAGTTATTATTATTATTATTGTTATTATTATTGTTGTTATTTATCTGCTACAGCCATACTTTTTATTTATTTATTTATTTTTCTTATTCTTACTATCATGTCGCTTTAACACTTTAACTTCCCCATGAGGGATTAACCAAAGTTTAACTTATACTGTTGTTGTTGTTGTTGTTGTGTAACAATATTGTAATAAAACAACACTCACTGTGGTAGTTATTTAAGTGTCGATGGTGTTATGACTATAGTATTATTAAAAATAACACTTATTTATTGAATA